ACTAATTTTATGGCATCAACTAGTGTATCGGGTAGAAACCCAATGCGGATTATATTCACACCGTACTATCATAACTCTTATGGATAGACCAAGATTTGCCCATCAGTAGTATGGAGGTATGAAGCTTGATAAGTCAACTAAGCTTCGCTCAGCATAAGTTTGAAGTTATAAAGCTATCGCGTAAGCTGAGCTACGCTCAGCATAAGTTTGAAGATATGAAGCTAGAGAGGCAGCTGAGCTTCGCTCAGCATAAGTTTGAAGTTATAAAGCTATCGCGGAAGCTAAGCTACGCTCAGCATAAGTTTGAAGATATGAAGTTAGAGAGGCAGCTGAGCTTCGCTCAGCATAAGTTTGAAGTTATAAAGCTATCGCGTAAGCTGAGCTACGCTCAGCATAAGTTTGAAGATATAAAGCTAGAGTGTCAGCTGAGCTACGCTCAGCATAAGTTTGAAGTTATAAAGCTATCGCGTAAGCTGAGCTACGCTCAGCATAAGTTTGAAGATATGAAGCTAGAGAGGCAGCTGAGCTTCGCTCAGCATAAGTTTGAAGTTATAAAGCTATCGCGTAAGCTGAGCTACGCTCAGCATAAGTTTGAAGTTATAAAGCTATCGCGTAAGCTGAGCTACGCTCAGCTTAAGTTTGAAGATATAAAGCTAGAGTGTCAGCTGAGCTACGCTCAGCATAAGTTTGAAGATATGAAGCTAGAGAGGCAGTGGAGCTTCGCTCAGCATAAGTTGAAGTTATAAAGCTATCGCGTAAGCTGAGCTACGCTCAGCATAAGTTTGAAGATATAAAGCTATCGAGTCAGCTGAGCTATGCTCACCATAATTTTGAAGGTATAAAGCTTGACGAATATGCCAAATATTCTTTATAAGTTTTTTAAAAAAAATTTTCATCCAAAGTTGAATTTTATAAAAATCACAGTCAACTTTTGTTTTAAAAAATTCGTAAGAAAGGAAAGTTTTTTGCCATTTCTGAAGCAACGGCTGTTCCTACCTTGCCCAAAAACAATACAGCTCTTCTATAGAGCAGCACGGATCAAATGTAAAAAACTAGAAGTCTCTACGATGTCTCGTTATTGAGATTTCTTGCTGATTAACTTGCTTGCTTGCTTGCTTGTTTGCTTACAGAAAGCGTATTTTGCGATTTTCTCAGCAATGCCACAACCAATTTGAAATCTGTTTTTTGAAAATGATGTAAAATTTCAGGCACAAACTTTTCTTCTTGCCCTTTTATAACCAATTTTGCTTTGTTTTCTCACAAAATGCGAAAAACTGATTTTTCAATCTGAACAAAACCAATAGATTCACACGTGAAAACGGTGTGAATATAAAAAATATTTCCTTTTTTTATTCATTACATGTTGCGCTCACAACAACAACAATAAAACTGTTTTCTATCGAGTTAGAAAACCATTAAGGAACTCTAAAAGAAGTTATCGCAAAAATTTCATTAAATAATATTATGTTTATTTATTTGTGGTGCGATTTGTCTTTCCTCTCTTGTTCTTTTTTGATCATTTTTATATTCACACCCTTCACACCTGAAAAGTAGATGGTAACCCTATTAATGATGCACTGGATTCTCCAGATTTTCTAATATCATTTACTAATCTTTTAAATATGTCTCTTGAGCGTGGTCAAGTACCTGATCTTTTCAAATGCAGCACGATTACGCCTATACAAAAAATTCCGAATTCTAATAAAGTAAATGATTTGCGCCCAATAAATACATTACCGGTCTGTAGTCGGATCCTGGAACGTATTGTTAAAGATCAGCTTTTAGAGCATTTTGAATCCAACAATCTCTTTGCTAGCCAACAATCAGGCTTTCGAAAGTTCCATAGCTGTGAAACTTCGATTGCTTATATTAAATGAAATGAATGGATTGCTGCACTTGACAGGAACAAGATAGTAATTTCAGTTTTTCTAGACTTAAAGAGAGCTTTTGAGACTGTTGGTAGACAGCTCTTACTGGACAAATTAGAAATGTACGGATGTGATCCTATAGTCCTCAACTGGTTCAACTCCTATTTATCGAATCGTTTTCAGCAGACCAAGTTTAATGTTTTTTTTTTTCAGCACTCATGCCAATAATATTTGGTATATCACAAGGATCTGTACTTAGCTGCCTTCTGTTTATTTTTTTTTTTTTCATTTTAATTGCACTTCATTGCATTTATTGCGCTCTGATTATCTGAGTTTGCGCAGATAAAACTCTTTGCTGATGATACTCTTATTTTTATTGAATGTGATGCTGATAACGTTGACGAAACTTTACATCGATTAAACAGCGACTTGTCTAAGGTTTATGATTGGTTGTGCTTTTCAAAACTGTCATTAAATATCTGCAAGACTAAGGCTATGATTATCTCGAATAAAAATATCAGGCCTGAACCTACAACTAGTATCATGATCAATGGAACTCCAATCGAACTTGTTGATTCCATGAAATACCTAGGTATAATTTTAGACAAAAATTTGTCCTTTTCCGAGCAGCATGATGATATCCTCAGAAAATTAAACAAGAAGTTTTATGTCTTCAAACGTTGCGAAGCAAAATTAAACACTTCAAGCAAAAAGCTTTTGGCCAAATCTTTGATTTTTTCGCATTTCAACTATTGTTCTTCAGTGTCTTTCTTATTCAGTGACAGTCAAATCGATGAATTGCAGAAGGTCATAAATCGTTTCATGCGTGTTATCCTGAGATGTGATAATCGCACTCATCGTCAGAACATGCTTGACAGCTTTGACTGGTTATCAGTCAAGCAAATGCTTAATTATGACGGTTTAATGTTTTTTCACAGATTAACTAAATTTGAGTCTCCTGATTATCTTTTCAACAAGCTTAAGAAAGCGAAAGATGCTCATCGCTATCCCACAAGGCGTTCCCACAAGAATTATCGAAGAGGTATAGCCCAGGAAAGGCGAACAACAATTCAATTGGCCGCAAAAGAATACGTCAAGGAGAAATTTCCTTTAAACTAAACTCTAATTTATGTGCAGGCATTTTTGTGAATTCCGTCGATATTTATGTCATAATGCTTTTCTTCCATGAGATTCTGGGTCTTAGTTAGCAACTTGGTTCCGTCCCTGATGTAGAGTGGCAGACAAACTTTCAACTTCCGATCTTAAAAGATACTGGGTTGTCTGTAGTTATGCTGTTTCTCACTCACGCCATTAAGCTTGCAACAGGTCTGCGGACGTAATTTTGTAGTTTAATGAGGCTCATAAACAGCAAATGTTTTGGTATACTTGTACTGTAAGCGCATTGCTCGCTTTAAACTGTTTTGGCGGTTCTATTTCATTTAAAGTTTTGGTGTGCAAACACCAGTGAGTGGTTAAGAACGTTTTTGCCTCTATCTAGGATTGTTCTTGGGCGTGACTATCACTAAGAGCAGTAATGGATTCGATTAGCAAAGGGCTATTTATCGATGGATGGTTTACAGTGCCATGAGACATATTTTTACAGAATATTTCATATTGAGCCACTTAGGCTACATTTTAAGTTAAAATTTTTAACAACCACACAGTCAAATTCTTTACATTGCTTGTTATCACGATTTTCTTAACTTTTCGTTTTATGTCGAGAATGATAAATCTCTATCGGCCTGTTTCACTAAAGTGGATTATCCTCGATTTCGGAATATCTTCTTCAGTTTTTTGAAAATATCTCCAGACGCTTAAGGTTTTTAAGAGATCTAATGTGTGATCTAGTAAGAGTACTTTGCTACTTAAATTAACATATACTTAGAATTTTTATATCTTCATTAGTTTGAGAATTAAAGCAAAAATCGAAGTTAATCTACTAGATTTGGCTAGAAAATTGAATAATTAATAATTCTTAACAAAAAGTAAAAGTTTAAAGTGTACAGAAATTTCAGGCATAGTTCACTCTATTATAATCCAATATAAGAAATACCACACCTCGTTTTAAGTTTAAGATATTTACAAAAAACTGAAGTGGATAATCCGAAATCGAAGATAATCCACTTTAGTGAAACAGGCTGTATACTTTTGTATTTTTAATACCTTAAGTAAATAAACCAATCTATCTATCTATCTATAAAATTCAACTTTAGATGAAAAATTTTTTTAAAAAACTTTTAAAACATGTTCGTTAAGCTTAAGACCTACAAACATATGCTGGGCGAAGCTCAGCTGACTCACTAGCTGTATACCTTCAAACTTATGCTGAACGAAGCTCAGCTGACTCGCTAGCTTTATAACTTCAAACTTATGCTGAGCGAAGCTCAGTTGACTTATCAAGCTTCATGCCTTCATACTTATGCTGGGCAAATCTTGGTCTATCCATAAGACTTTTGATGGTACGGTGTGAATATAATCCGCATCGGGTTTCTACCCGATACATTAGTTTTAGAAGCTTTTTTACAGTGAGAAGATTCATGCAAGGAATACAATTGTGATATGATCAGGAAAACAGACAATATTAGTTTTCAAATTGATTCACTGTCTTGCAGGAACTTTAACGGATAAATAATTCTATTGTTATGTCAAAAAGTACTTAACTTTATTGATTTGTATAAGCATGTTGACAAAAACAATCCTTGTTTCATTCCTAAACTCTTATTTATACTTTTTTTTATCAAGAGTACGACTAGGAAAATAAGAAACAGAGGTACTGGAATCTGAATCAACAGAAAATCAACTTTTAATGAAATTAAAGAGAATTTGGAAATTCTTCATTTTTAACAGATGATCAAGTAAATTCAACCAACACATTGTATCCTAATTTTCTTAGTTCCAATTAGTTCCAAAAATTTTCATTTAAAGTTTTGAAGAAAATTTTTGCGAAAGAAAAATCAAAGTTTTCATTGACCAAGAAAAATTTTAAAATAAATCATCGAAGCAACTTTTGAATCAGATAAAAACTCATTTGAAAAAAGAACACCGAACGAAAATATAACAAAAGTGATTAAAAGATATTTAAGTGAATAAAAATTATTAAGATATCAAAAAGATTGAAAAAAAGAAACAAAAATGCTCTGCAAACGTCAGGAAAAATATATTGAAATAGTCAAAGAACAATTTTTAAATTATTTCGACAGTAAAGGTGACATATTGACCGAAAAATTTGACGAGTTTGTGGGAAAAATGTTAAAAGAATTAAAACCACTTTGGACGACACCCAAATCATCTGTGTACCCAAGTCACTTGACGCGATTTATTACAAATTTGAAAATAAAAAAAGTGATTGCCAAATTGAAGGAAAAAGAATCATCAAGTAAGTACAATGACTGTTATATGCATTCAAGATTTTGAAAATATTATTTTTATTTTGTTTCTTTTAGAAACTCAGTTATCTGTAACTGGACATTCGGAACAAGAGCATTCAGATATAGAAGATTCATCACTACATGCAATACCATCAAGCACCGAAGGAAATATCGAAGAATATGCAGCAGGTCCTTGTATTTCGCATGGTGCTCTTTATTCCATCGCAATAAATTATGGCCACGATAGTGATGAAAGTATAAATTATGAAGAATTGCCGCTAGAAAACATTGAAGACAGAATGAGTAAGTTGATGTGAATGATTGTCAAATTTATTAATGATTTAATAAATATTCGATTTGTTTTTTTTTTCATTTTCAGTTAGTCAGTCGTTTGCGATGTCTCATACGTCAAGAATGGGTTATGAAATTGATTCAGCCAATAATGATCTATCAGCTGCTGTTGTCAATTTTGATGATGATATTACCATGAATTTTGAATCCACACATAATATGCTAGCCCCTCCTAAACCAGCAGTGACTCAAAATCCACAGCAACAAATAATTAGTCTGGAAGAATTTCCAACGGAAGAGGAAGAATTGCAAGAATTAAACAATATTAGCGCTCATGATTCTGATTCATCTTGGATGGACTTTTTAAGCAAAAAGTATAACAACGCTGAAAAAGAAATGGAACAGGAAAGAAACAGTTGCGATTATGATGTCACCTGTCCCATGGACATTAGTCTGTCGATTGATTTTGGTGAATCATTTTCAATGACTGATTTAGGGAAGACAGACGAAGAAATTGATGATACTGTCATTGGAGGGATGTCTCAAATATTCATGGAAAATAATCAATTGTTTCTACGAGAAACTTCATCTTTCGAACACGTTTCATTAGACGAAACTATTTTTGATGAAGACTGAGAAGTTAAAAAAGTTTCAAGCATGTCAATATATTCATGAAGGCTCAAATCAGTTTCAAATACATTTCATTTTTTATTTTAATATTCATGCTTATCTCATTACTACATACTTCATAGTTAAATGTTAAAGTTTAAATTCCTATATACCAAAAAAATTAATAAAATTTAAGTGAAATTTATTACAATTATTAGTCCTTTTTATAAAGCAAAAACCAGCATTTGAGTCAGTGTTGCAAATGTAGATGTCTACACTAGATGAAGAATGTAGATTCTTCAATAGTTTTTGTTTAGCTAAGAAACTTTCTTCATAAAGATCGATTCTACATGAAGATAGAAAATCTAATCTACACAAAGATTATTTGTACATAAAGATTTGATGCAGATGTCTACAATTCTACATTTTTTCCAGGTCTACATCAGAGAAGAATGTAGAATTAGATTTTCTATTTTCATATAGAATCGATCTTTATGAAGAAATGTCTGTCTCAGAATTTATCTGATCCAGACAAATAGCCAGAATGCAACACTGATTTGAGTACAATAATAATAATGAAATGGTACTCAGATTTATAATTACATTCCTAGATTTCTTGTCTGTTTATTCACCATGCCATTTCCAATACATGTGTACAGAAAAATTTAAAATTTTTTACATAGGTTTTATAAAATATCATAAGCCAATTCAAAACAGCAAGCACGCAATCACTTATGAGGAATGGAAGGATCAATGTTATTTGTAAACACGATAATTCGAATTTGTGTGTATTTACTTATTTTCATACAAAGGGAAAGAATCGTTAAAATAATGTTTTATTTATGTGGAAAAACGAGTTTAAAGTTATTCAACTTCATTTGTTGTATCATTGGCTTCTGTATGGAAATAATGGTAATGGTAAGGAAGAGCATGCAAGTGCAATTTTCTTCTGAGAACTAATTTAATAAAAGAATCCATTCCTTTGCCAATGTATAAAAGGTGGTGCCACGGGTAATATAGTGAAAATGTTGTGCATACTTGCAAAAATATTAATGTATGAAGCAATAATGACTCAAAAATTAATATTTTGTAAAATTAAGTGGAAAGTCAATTAAATGGATTTATATTCTAAAGGAATGTATCAAGGCTTAGTGTTTAATTGGGCCTATGTTAAAATTGCATTTAGGCCCTTCAAATTAATTTCGATTTAATCAGTTCCTTAATTTATAGCCCAAAGTTACATACTTGTTATGTCCTATCCCAAAAGTCTAAAATTATATTATTTTGATCTAATTATTCTATCTTTTAATAATTGGCATTAAATCTTATAGTTGATCGTTAAATATCCTTATTTATTTTTACATCGATGCACGTTATGTAAATAAATAAATTCTCAATTCCCATTCATGCGCTGCCGGTGAAAAGAGGAAATTAAACTGCCTCTTATCACGCTAATAAATCTAATGAATTAATTACAGAACTGAACTATTGCCTGAAGATATCACTCAATTATCATGTGCTTAGTAAATTTGTAGAAGGTATGTCTGTGTGCTAATAAAATGAGACATAAATCAGCAAACTCCTTCTTTCTTGCTATAGCATGCATTCTCATTATTTGTATAAAATACATTGAAATTCACAACTATTGATTAAAGTTATATGAGTAAAGCCTTGTTTTCTATTCAATGCAACAGAATCAGCAGTAGCGATACAATCCGTGCAAGAAATGTCAGTGGAAGTTCACGAAAAAATTAAATTCGATGAAGTTTTATTTTATTTTATTATTATTTTTATATTGAATTTTTGAAATAAATTTAGTGATGTCACGATGTCACGCATGATATCATTACGTCAATAGAAGCATAACCTTTGTAAATTTTTACACTGGCTGGTAGCAATTGAAGTCATTGCTTTACTTTGAAATTTAAAAAGTATCTTTGCATGACTCTTGAAAGGTACCATAAAAAAAGGATGTAGTGCTGTTAAGAATGGATGTTATGCGAATAGTTTGAACATTTTGTTGGAACAACAACAAACGTGATAAATTGATAATTAAATAAGGACTAAATGCTAAAGTATCACATCCTTGGATTTTTTAGTCATGTAGAGAAACAATTGTGCAAAGCAGAGAAATAAACAATGTCATTGATATACATAATATTCATTTCTGGGGTGGCATACAAAACATGACAGAAAAAAGTTTTTATGTTGACATGAAATCGGTGGGCAATATTATTTTTTCTGATCTTTTACGCTCGCGCGATGAACTGCATTGCATGAGAGAGAATAGCAACATTTAAAAAAAATGCCAAAAAGCAGAAAGAATTCTCGGAAACAAAAAAAAAAGAATATGCGGGGAGGAAATGGAAATAAATTGCTAATTTATTTTTATGGTTCTCTCATGTCGCGCATTTTATTATTTTTATTTTATTATATTTATTGGGATTTTCAAGGTTGTCCAAAATTATTGAGAGAACTATGTGTGACCTGAATTTTATGTGTATTAATTTCTATTGCAATGTCTCTTTTTTGCGGAAAAGGTATTGTCGCATGGCTAAGCAAACTAATCAAATGTTTCTTCCTGTCTTCCACACAAACAAATTTAATGTTCGTTTTGATGACAAATTAATTATTTTTCAATTTTGTTTTCATTTTTCAACATGACTACACTTTGTACCCATTGACGTAAATTAAATGAGATTACAGTATAGGAAACTCTTGTGTCGAAATAAACAGATTTTTATTCCTTATCATAATTAGATTACTGCATTAATAAATAAAACGATAAAAATTAAATCTGCAGTAATGTAATTAAGGTAAGTTTGATCACAGTTAATTCTCATATCATTTAATTGTTTTCAATGACAGACATGTGATGGATTTATTTTATCAGTAGATTGTGATGTCTCGTATTCATTTATTTTTTGTTTTTTATTTGTTTAAAATCTCATGTATTACTCTTGTAAGAATTAACTTTTGCCTATAGAATTAACTTTGTTCAATTCTTATCAGATTGACGCACTAAATTTGGTTTTTCATTATTTATGATAGCATATCTAAAGCCCTTAATACTGAGCATTACAGAAAGAAGACTTGAAATTTTCTGTTAACAAATAATCAATGACTCATTTCAACAAAGGTTGGCTCTTAAAGTCAAATCCTGAACTTTTGCTTGAATAAGCATTTAAATTGTGATTTTATTTTGACTATTATTTTATTTGAAGGATATAATTTCCCAAAATGTTTCATATCGTACTGCCCTAAAGCAATATACCGAATAGTACGTTGAGTTTTACCGAAGAGCTAAGAGCTCAATATTATTCCGAACTGAGAACAGACAAAGACTCCAAGATTAAAACTTTACAAGGAAATGTAAAAAGTTGACTGCATTTTCATTAAGAGTTTTTTTAACATAAGCCAATCAGCTCCACTACGGCGACATGATGCGACAAATGTGCTTGAAAAAAGATCAAAAATTAATTCTGAATCCACAAAGCTTTGATTGATAGCTTGGACTTTGAAAGTATAAAAAAATAATCAAGTTATTTTTAAGCAAAAGAAACTTCGATCCCCAATGATGCGTCGGAATATCCCCCAAATTACAATTCTTCCTTATCGGGAAGTTTTTCAATTCTGATTATGAATCAGCAAAAGAAAAAAAAAGGTTTAATCGAATGTTAATTAGAAAATGTTCGCATTTCTATGATTGATAGATAAATAAGTATTGATGTATGTCCTGTGTCGAAGTGTAGAAATTGAGTATTTATTGCACAATGATTCAGAATCGAAAAAAATGTTCAAAAATTCAAAAATTTCATGTTAATTAAACTTTGCCTTTTAAATGCCAGATTAAAGATCTTTCCTTTGTGCATATCCTTTAAAAATATCTCGTTCCTATTTGCTGTCTAACTCCAGAAATCATTAATTTAATCTCACCCAAAATTTGTTTACAATTTGAGTATGAAAAAAGAAATGTGATTTTTTCTACTTTAAGTTGTTATTTGGATGTCTTGAAAGCAGTTGCTAGCTAATTTAAGCTTAGCTCTACATATTAAAACAACCAACTCAATAGAAATCTGCTTATTAAGCCTTAAAAATGGAATTGAAATCTGAGTATTTTTACAAAACTTAAACTATTCATAAGTTAAAAAGTCTTCCAAAGACCTCTCTGAAACCTATATAAATCAATTAAATAAGCTTTAATCTATCTCCCATATTACTGAGGACATGCCGTTTGATGCCGTTTTCGAGATATTTGCGATCAAAGTTTACATAAAATTTCATACAAAGTTTGATCATGCACAATATTTTTTGATAAACTTTTACAAACTTTTGATAAAAAAACATGTTTATCCTTTGTATTAAGGACTGATTTTTTGAGCAATGAACGAAAATATTATGTAGAAGATGCTAAAAGAATCAAATCAAAAGAAATCAACAAAAACTTTCAATTTTCTAATGTGTCAGAAAAATATTGTGCACAAGGAATTTTTGAACATTTTTTCCGAATCTGAATCATTGTGTATTGTATTATAAACATAAAATAAATAACAGAATGAATTGTGAATCAACGAATAGACGAGTTTATGATTGGATGAATGAATTATTATTGTCTAGCTTATATCATTTATCGATTCTGATGTGAATTTAGTGAATGAAATGTGAAAGAGTGAGAGATAATTTGCATATCAATTGAAAATCTGTAGACAACGATATGTTTGATTGTTGAATGATATTCAACAGGAATAATATTAAATAAAAGCATAGAGGATTAAGAAAATAAATCATTGGAGCTTTGTGTGATTTAAATACAATTATAATTTGACAGAGTTGATGTAATATAGAGTCAATTAGTGAGGAAAATCCTCAAAATGCTGATTTATTATAATGTGTTTTTTACCTGTTTTTTAAGTTCCACTTTATGATGAAAAATTATTTATTTGAACTTGATAAGTTATGAGCTCAAAAAATAAATAATTTGTGCTTGCTAATTAAAGGACTGAAACTCCTGAGATAATTTTGTTCTG